CATTTTTAAACTGTATCAGATTCTGTTAGATCACTTCAGTTGAACTGTATAAAAAGAGAGAATCCCTACATACCGACCCTACTTTTTCAGGGCCATAATTGGAAACATGGCATTGATTTTCCTGAGCCTTACCCTGCTCCTGATGTGCTTCCTCCAGTGGTACAGCCAGTTCTATGGTCTCCTGGATAGGTTTCACCACCTCCAGAATGTTCAGGCGAGCCTCCTCTCCTACAACAGGACAACTGTTCACTGAAACATCTTTCCAGTTATGTATGTGTACCCAGGGAGACACTAAGAGCTGTGTTACAGATAAAGGTGCACAGGCCTGTACGGTACCTGTACCTAACCAAGTTTAGTCAATCATCTGTAAGTCATACATGTAGCCAACTGTCTTTCTTCATGATAAATTTTGTAGGAGGGTTTATGTATTTCAATCTGAATACAAGAGTGCTGTGACAGTCCAGTTTTCTTGATTCTCAAGTGAAATTTATTATTTAAATAATAAATTAACAGCCCTAGAATATACTCAGTATGGGGGGGGGGTATTTGGGGATGCATGTTGCTGCGTGACCTACAATAGGTTTGTTTATAACAAACATGTACGTTTAGCTATTTCTTCCACATATTCATGTGACCTGCAGTTTGCTCCTTTGTTTTGCAAACACTACCACATATCAGGATGGTAAACAAAGATACAATCAATATATATATATACATAAGTCATTGGACACTGCATAACATACCTAGATTGCCAGAACTAATGGGGAAAAACAGGACATGTAAGACTGTGGCCATACAATGCTCTCAGTTTCTGATAACATTACATGGTTTTTCAAAGTGTGATTCAGCCCAAGCTGTGCAGCATATGTGCGAGATATCAAAATGTTTGGAACATTGATATCACTGGAGCCTTATTGGCAAAGTAACATTACCATAGTAATAATTCCTTAGAATAACTTTAAATTTTTGTCCTTTTTTATCTTTGTAACATACAATAAATGTTTGCCCAAAGTAACAGGCTTTGTATATATTATCGCTCATTAATTTTTTTTCTAATTTCCAGACAGAAGATTGAGACTCTATGACAGACAGTAGACACTGAGCTGGACTTGTGTGTGAAAAGGTTCACCTGGGTTGGACATATACTCCCCACCTGTGTTGGACACAATCTGGACACTCAGCTGGACAACACCGTCTGTCTTCACACCCTGGTCAAACAGGCTCTGTCCTGGGTCCAGCTGTGGGGACAAACAGGACAACTTACAGAGATGGCAGACTTCACCCACTTACCCATACTGCCTTACACTCCCACAGACAAAAACAGTAGCAGTGAGGATGTGACACTGCTTCATTGTGTATATTGGCAAACACAAACACATTAGATGCATAGAAACATGCTGAGACAAACATATACACAGACAGACACAAAGATAAGAAAAAAACATTCTATCACTCCCTTGGGGCAAAATTAATACATGTGTAAATCATATTTATAATTTGGAAAGCTGCAAATCCAAACACTACATAGTATATCATATTTCCTACATAAATTACTGTGTTGCAAGTATTACGGACACACATCAAAAACAAAAAGGGATTTTACATGTGTTGGACAGAATTTTTCAGCTTTGTTAGCATGGTTTATAACACTATAGTGTGCATAGCTATATTGTGAGACTATGGTAATTTTTGAATATTGTTAGGTGTTCCGTACAGGTATATCTTGGAGGTAGATGTTGTGGCTTTCTAGCGATGACTGCACCCTGGGCTCCAGAAGCTGTCGCAGGGAGCCGATTGGTTCGTTGATGTGGATCGCCTGGGTGATGACTGATACCGTTGTGACAGCCACAGCGGACGCCATCTCTGTTACAACTTCCTCTGACTCGTCGTTTCTGGAAAATAAAGCATTCCGTATTTTAGGGCTACTGAATTGAATTATGACAGCCATGCAGGTTAGGCTTGTATTATTCCCTGGTGTGTATATAATAATGTACAGGATTGAGAAGATTGACAGTAGTGTCTATTTGAATGTGGAAAAGTAAGGGTAAAAGTCTCATAGCTTTTGAGGCTGTAAGGGCAGTAGATTGTTAACCCACAGCGTCTAGGGCAAGCAGGTAGAGCCCATTCCTCTGCTTCCACTGAAATTTAACAAAATCGGGTTTCCTTTCTACACCTGGGAGGAGTAAGGAAAGTGCTTTTCCCAAGGACACAACATCTAGTCAGTGATATCTCTGTCTTGTGTCTACTACCGCAGCCACTCAATGCTACACACAAGTAAAAAAATTATGAAACATGAAAAATTATTTACTTCAGAATCAGAGGTCTAATCTCTCCACATCCTACGAGATTTGCTAGAGCTGTGTCAACCCACTATGGAAAATCTACACAAATGGCTGACATTGTGTACTATATCCACTCTCAGCAATATCTATATATGTCCAATATCATTACAGGTCAGTTCATGCAGATAGAACTAAATGTACATGTAGCTAAAAGACAATAGACATACAAATACACATGACAACTAAATTTGCACATGTCCCACTTAAAATACCTGTATATGACCACCTGGTGATATTGTTGGACTACTGGTAATAAATATGTATATTCTGTAAGAGTCTTCAGCTTAGATTAGTCTGGTAGGGAACAAACACATGAATATGTATGATGAAAAAAACGCTAGCCTTCAATCTTTACAGTTACACATATGCGTTTCCAACTGTTGAACACCATAATGAAAATACAGATGGTACTAATATTTGTCTTCACAAACATTAAGTTTTCACAAAAAAAGTATCCATACAGAGCACAAACACAAAAAATTGGCAAAGTATGTATCAACTGCATATGGTAACCCCTGACCTTGATTTTTAATGCCATGCTGTGAGCCCAACAGGTTGGCTTTAGTGAACATATACTATTGTCATTGGTCATCGTTGACAACGATGGACGAACAACAATACTATTGTAGGGATGCAGCAATCACCTCACAAATTTTCTCATTCGCGAATCTCAATTCATAATCCCGAGACAGTATTTTCTGCATCTTTGAGGGACAAATTTTGTTAAGTTGATTTTTTTTTTTTTCAAAAGGTTTATGAAGGCAACGAGGCGACATCTCTGCTTACAAAGAGATCAATAGCAGTGTCCCACAGGGTAGCTGTTTGGGCCCACTACTGTTCTGTACATACACAAACGACCTACCCACAGTTGTAAAACGCTGCGACATTGTATTGTACGCAGACGATACAACCCCGTCAGCTTTTGGCCCTAGTACCGCGGACATTCAGACCATTCTTCAGTCTGAACTGACGCACATCAGCGACTGGGTTCAAGCCAACAGACTAATATTAAATGTCGACAAAACCAAGTCCATAGTCTTCGGAAGTAGACACAAATTAAAGCACAAACCAACCCTACAGCTTTCAATGCACAACAAGCCGATTGAACAGGTACAGCAGGCGAAACTGCTAGGATTATTTTTAGACCAGCAGTTAACCTTAGCACAAAACCTTGACAAAGTTAAATCCAAAATGGCAAGTGCTCTAGCAGCAATTGCTAGATCACGTGACTTTCTCACGGGTGACACGCTAAAGACGGCAACTCAAACACTTGTCCCGAGTCATCTGGACTACTGCTCCTGCCTTCTATCGTCCAGTTCTCAGTCTAACCTGAGCGGGTTGCAGATTTTACAAAATAAGGCAGCTAGGCTTGTGTTAAATGTCGAGTATAACAGCCGGATCGACGAACTGCACAGTAGATTAAACTGGCCCAGAGTTAACGAAAGACTTTACACAAACACACTCTCCACGTTCCACAAACTTCTGACTACTGGCAAACCTGTTACTATCTACAATAAGCTACGCAAAATCAACAACACACATCAACACAACACACGACTTTCACAGGCGGGAGGCTTTAGACTACCAAAACCCAGAACTTCCTCTGCTACTAGGACATTCCTGTACAGATGCATAAAATCCTACAACACTTTCCCACAACACATCAAATCATCCGCACCATCAGCTTTCAAAAAACACGTCAAGGACAGGTTAAAAACACAAACATACACAAACAGACCTCTGCAGCATTGGTGGTAACATAATGATTTTTAAATGTAAATATATAACTTGTATGTATTACTTATTTATTGCACTGACCTCTGACCTCTCAAACAATCTCTTACGTATACCTTATTACTTGTTGTATATAGGATAGGATAGGTTGTGTAATTGTTACAGGTTGTTGTATTTTAGGTGTGGCATTAAGCAAGTGTATATAAGGCCACACCAATTTAATTTGTTGGTTCTCGGATTTTTTCAGAAAAAATATGAAGCGACAGGGCGAAAAAAAATAAAAATAAAAACAGGTCTAGGCATCCTATTATAGGCTTAAATGCTACAAAATGAGCCACGAAGTCAACACAAAAGGCTGGGTTGAAATTTAAACATTGAATTTTGAACTTTTAATCAAACCACTGCAATGATAGATGGGAAAACTGTAACAACTAGGAAGAAAAGGACTTTCCTCAACTGTTGGGGGGCAAAACATGAGCATTTTTCAGTTGATTCAGGACCAGAATGAATTTTTTTTTTTTGCAAATCAGAAAAAAACGAAGAGGTGAATCCGAGAACCAACAAATTAAATTGGTGTGGCCTAAGTCTGTGTTATAAGTTTGTAATGTTGTTTTTAAGACTCCAGGAAGATTAGTGCTTACATTCACTAATGGAGATCCTTCAAATAAACAAATAAACATAAACAAGCAACGAACACCCATGAACTGATTGAAAGACAGCATAGGGGCCTAAATCACAGGATACGTAGGGACATAAATTACAGCATATGGATAATGGAGTCCAAGTCACAGCATAGGATTGAAGACCCTTAATTATACTCAAAATATACTAGCTAGAATGCTGCTCTTCATGGAAGCACCAGAATAAACTCACCCATCCTCCACTCTCATCCTCTTCTCCTCTCCTCCCTCCACAATGACAATCTCTTCCGTCACACGTTTGGACATCCTGGGCCTCTCCACTGTACTGCACAACAATGAAAAATGTCACCAACATTCTTCAAGGAGTTCAATGTAAGATGTACATTGTAACAACATCTTGTGGCATGATCATAGAAAAGGGATTTTTGTGGTATTTGAAGGCTGCAGTTAAAATAATTTTGTAATTGAAATCACCCCCCCCCCAACACACACCCAGACACAGGAGGATCTGCATGGAGGGGGGGTAGTAATTATGAATTATGCCAATTTTTTGCTGCTGCCTACTGGTACAAATTATGTTTTATTCTTAGAGCTGATTACGAATTATGTTGAATCATGCTGACACTTGAATTATGTTGATTTTGGGTGACTGCCTAGTGCCTACAAGTTTACAAAGACTGATTATACCTTATCGTTATGAAAAAGGGAAATTATGCAGGTCGAGCCCCATTCTGAGACCACAGGTGTCATATTGTTAAGTTATAGGTACAAGTCTGGACCTGCACCTACATCTCTGCCTGTACCGGATGTAACGTTACATGTTACTATTCTTACTTTAAAGGTACACATCCCAAGATTATGACAGTTCTGGAAAGTTGCTGGCCATATAACGTTCATATCATACTCATAGCCCATGTTTCCCAACACGTTATATCTACCCACATTACTTAACCTTAACCTCAGTTATCTATAGGCCATCAACATCCTGTTGTAACATTTTCTGACTACTTGGCTTCTCTGGCAGACCCTCACCACTGCCACCCACCCCCAATAGTATTTGACAGTCAGAAAACCTTCAATTTTTACGATCTCAAACTACAACATCTGCTTGGATATCAGCAGTTTATCGAGATCAAGTACTGTCGCGTCATACACAGACTACGCAAGTCTCGGTGCTTGGACGTCGGGTACAGCCAGGTTATCAGTTAGCTCTATCCTTCTCCCTCCCTGATGATAACGTTACACGATGAGAAGATCAGGCAGATTCTCAACCAAACAAACTCCGCGCCTTCCAGGCCGGAAATCAGTCGACATCTTGGGATGCGTTTCCTGTTGCAGACTACAAAGAATTTGTGCCTCATATACACCGTTAGCCAGCAAATTTTGGGCGTGGTATATACAAAAACTTGCTATAAATACCTTATTCTGTTGTTCTTGGTCACAAGTCTTCAAAATAAGTCCGGAATTTTGTCAAAAGGAGTCGAAAATAGGCCAACAAAGCACAGACAGGAAATGACCAACGTGAAATGGCGGATGTCCGGATTCGCGATGTGGATTGTGGGATAGGGGAGTGCAGCGCGGGAGATTTAAAACCAATATTGCAATCCCCTTCCCCGAGTAGATGCTAGGCGTGGTCTGTTTCACATGTGTTTTGCACCATTGTGTACGTCTTTAGCGTTGGCAAAGGGTGAAGGAGATTCAATCGTACTCCTTCAACTTTTCAAATGTTTTAAAGGTTGTCTTTAAATGGTTGTTGACATGTGCATATTTATTATAGGGCTTAGAGATTTCTGACGTTTTGTTACTATGGGACACATGTGGATCATGTGACAAGTTTCGAGGTGAATCGGGGCAGTTTGAACAAGGACGTTTTTTTTGTTTATTTACACAAATCAGGATTGTTGGTATCAGACTCACTGACAACACTTAACTGATCCTGGCTGCCCATCACTAGCAGTCCAGCCAAATGAGACACGGGCTAGTATGTCCGTCCATGTTTTTACACGTTTGTATTTATTTCGCCTTTGTGTTTTTTTTTAATCTCTCGTTTTTATTATTGTTTTTTCACCCTGTGGTTTATCCTTGCGTCACGGAGCATGTTGAGTTGGCAGTGCAATTTTAAACTTTAGTGACGTCTTGACCTATTATGTCTAAAAAATACGAGCACTTCTCACATCTCCTTTCACCCGGGCGTCTGTATTGTTGTTCATGACAATGAGTAAAAGTGAAACCACTGAGATGACCCAAACACACATCTTACCATCTCAAACATCATGCATTCTTGTACCATTCAAAGAGGCAGTGAAGCCAAAAAGAAAGAATGACAAGTTGGGTTGAAAAGGACAGACGAGCATTTATTTTGAACAGAGAACCTCTTAGTTCCTCGTTTTGAGACAAAAGACTATGTCCTGATCAGGTACTATTTACAAATTGTAAAATTGTTTACGTTATTCGACTGCAAACTGTACAGTTTAATGCCCATTCGGTTACTTAGTAACGTTATAACTGGGCACCACGAAAACTCAGTTTTCACAGATAGATATTTACAACGTTAAAAGGTACAAGTTGTCAAAAGTTTCCACGTCGTAAGTACAAATATTTATGTACAAATTCATGCTATGTACTTTGTCAAATCATCAGACTGTCAGACAAATTAATTATTTCAACGCTAGGGCTGCAAGGGGGTCAAATCAACTCAAGGAAAAGTCAAGTACGCGTCTAAAACGTTAACGTTTACAGCAGACATGGCTAGTCACCATAGATAATATAAGGTAATTATAACGTTAGCATTCTTATCATGATCATGAGAAACACCGTTTCTAACTCAGCATGACTGACACGGGTGGAAATTACAGTTATAATGAATGTTCTAGCTCGCCGATCCCGCTGGCAAGTACATACGAATCATCTCTTGCAAGTCCCCGGGGTAAGGCGCGCGGTGATGCGGGATGTCTGGTACCACGGACCGGGAAGGCAGGCCGGGCAGTCCGGTGTAGGGGCTGCCGTAAGAACCGCCTCCGTAGCTCGCTGCTGTCGCGGACGCCACGTACGACGGTGTAGGTGCCGTGTAGGCTGCGGACGAAGTGTCACTGGGGCTGGGCGGGCTGGAGTTTGGCGACTCGCTGCCGGTGCCGCTTCCTGCCGCTGTCACACAGGTGATGGGGTAGGGCGAGCTGGACTGCGTGACGTACGGGTAGGCTGCTCGGGAGTAGTCGACTGGACCCTCGTGGTCTGGTGAGCCGGACTCTGGAGCCGGTGGGCCCGGTGGGATGAGCGGGTACCGCTGGTAGGGGTGGGAGAGATGGTCGTGCATCATGGAGGAGTAGTAGCCGTTCATGCCGTAGCCGTTCATGTAGCTGTGGGGAGGAGGGTAGTGTGGAGGGGCTGGCATGCCGCTGGCGCCGCCAGGTGGCAGATAGTCCTGCATGGGCAGACCCGGGAGAGGAGGCATGCTGAACTTGGTGTTCTTCATGGCGTTCTTCATCTTCCGGCGCGGGCGGTACTTGTAGTCGGGATGTTCTTCCATGTGCTTCGCCCGCAGTCGCTTCGACTCCTCGACGAACGGCTTCTTCTCCTCCGCCGACAGTTCCTTCCACATCTCGCCCAGACGCCTGCTGATCTCGGAGTTGTGCATCTTCGGGTTGTCCTCCGCGATCTTCCGGCGCTGGCCGCGAGACCACACCATGAAGGCGTTCATGGGCCGCTTGACTCGGTCCGACTTCTTGGGGAGGGGAACATCGTGGTCCGGGGCAGGCAGCATCTCGGGTGGGGGGTGCATCATCATCATGTTGGTCGGTACGTGAGATATGTGACACAGAGAAACACACAGCTCACAGTTCACCACAGGAATGACTGACACCTTGGCAGGACTGTGGCATTTTATGCGACTTCACCTGTCGTTGTTATGCAAATTATTTTCGACACCCTTCGCGCCCTTCATGCAAATTAGCGGTCGTGCAGGTGTTCCCACGACCAGTTGATTGATTCTTTTGTCTTGTATGACATAGTCTTGGTCAACGCCAGAGAAAACAGACCTCCCCTAGAAGAAAATAAAGTTTATGTTGTCGTCTTGTGTGAAAATTATTCAAACAAAAACATTTGCGCGTTGAATGGGAATCTATGTCCAATATTTTGCTTGTGCACGACTTTCCCACGAACTAGTTATATTGTAAAATCGGTCTTTCCCACGTCTTGGCAAGAATACATGTAATCGTAAAAGTAATCGGTCAATGTTTATTTATTATAGCATACATTGCTAAATACTAGTACAAAATGTACATACGGCGATACATCGGAAAATTATTAGTGAGTTCAGCAAGAACTAGCCTTAGTAAAGATTACATGACAACAAAGACCATGCATTGATATATTGTTCCCCTCCCTGTAGCCCTGAAAAGCCCAGCCATAATGCCTTTGTCTTGTAACATGTTGTAATTGATTGTATGCTTGTTGAAAACTTGATACACCTCGAGGGCTTCTTTGCACAAAAGTCATTGTATGCTGCTGTGAAACAAGACTTTTTATCCTCACAATGTGAAATTAGTGCCACGATTGTAGGCTGGTGTCAGAAACTTAAAGTAGGTTGGTGGTCCAGACAACAGTCACTGCGTTAGATGGCTTTGAGTTAAATGCACGTGACGTCCATAAATGTACAAGAAAATTGATAAATTACAATACATGTACTATTTTCATTGCTCTTCACTAGGAGCTTCTATCCTTTTCACTCTATCTATATGTATTGAAAACTGATACATTTTCTTTTAGTATTCCACCTCTAACCAAGTCCTTGCTCTTGATACTAATGATCCGTTACTGTATGGTTACAATTGTGTAATACTAATAGGAACGAGACACTTTACTGCACCATCCCGTATCCATGATGTGTTTCCTACATGTTTATTAGTGTCAACCAGGCTAGCAACGTGGGTTCGAAAAAAGTTAAATTCAGCCAATAGGGAAAATAATTGACTAGGGGAGTTTAGCCACCGTAGAGTTCACTTGCCCTTCAGAAATTAACCCTGCCGTGACTGTCCTGGCAAACTATTTCCTTTTTTTTTTACAAAACCCTACGATCTCGTACCCCCATAGGAAGGCCTGATGGAGGCTACGTGTTCATTAGTTACTAGTACATGTACTTCAAAGAAGTTCAATCATGTAGTCTACATGATTTGTTTCTTGTTTGACCAAGAAACCTCTTTGCTTTGACCTAGAGATGGTTGACCCCAGAAAAGTAATCTACAGACCGATTTGAGTAAATAAAGACTTACAAATTTCACCGAATAAGAAAAACATACGTTCTAAATTTCCAATCTTTTTCTCCCTCCTCCCTTCTCTCTACGTTCCTTTCTTTCTTTCCTTTCCCTTAGTTTTTATCCTATCATCAGCAAAAGTTACGCATATATTTATACGCATATAAATTTTGTTTGTTTTGCGCTGTTTATATATATATATAACCACTTGTTATTCCTCGCGCACTCGGCAAATACATAAACATGTTTGCTGTTGTAATTGTATATTGTCTTACATACATAACATATATACGATGTTTCTTGGTTTAGATACAAGCCAAGTTCGGTGATTTTAGACGACACTTGTAGAAGGCCAAGATTACTGTTAGATTGTTTAATCTCCAAGCATATTTTTTTGGCTGAAGGGCAGTATCAAATTGACCAAACAGTATTCAATCAGTATCCAATGCGCCACGTCGCCACCCAAGGGCAAAATGTACTAGAAACTGGGTGGCCAATTTGATCGTCTCCTGCCCCCGAATGAATCTAGCTACTTGGAGATTATAGATTGTTCTGCATATGATAGGAATAGATTATTATCTGTAGTCCTATAGCAGGCAAATTTCCTCACACTTGAATAGTAAATAGAACTTTAAATTCGTTAAATCTTTTGATAAACCAACTTTGACTAATCTCACATCCTCCTACATGTCTACCAAGAAGTATGTTGGTAAACGTGACCTGTGCATAGCCCAGACATGGCCCAGAGGCCAAATGTACAATAAAGGTCTTCATTCATTCATTGATATACACATCCTCTAGTTACTAGTACTGTATTCAATTTTCCGTTGTTCATATGTGAAGCGCATTCTATAACAGAAAAGTTAAAATACGTGAAATTGACATTACTTTTGGCGTGGGTGTTCATGGCGTTGAGTTTATTGGCTTGTGTGATAAGAAATGAACCGTTCCTGTCTTCATTTCAACAAGGGGGTCTAAAACTTCAGTTTTATTGGGTGATACAATGGACGCTTTTTGTTGGTCCTTTTCCGAGTTAGACATAACAAGATCTTGTTTTAGCAATACACATGCAGCCATTCTGTCTGTACAAAGTCCTAACCACGGGGAACCAAAAGTTAGACATAATGCCGTCTGAAACTTCTTTCGTATTTTTCTCACTTGTGTGGCTTCTGAGACGACACCGCTCGAAATTAGCCTTCTGTTCTTGATCGGTTTTAGGTCGTCTCGCACCGGTACGGTTTCGGGTTGCATTGACACCTTTGTTGTCTTGCTTAGGAATGCAAATATATTTACATCTCATTATCACCTTCGTGCCTATTTACGTGAGGTCGAGGTACGAATTTGCATTTCTATGGCCCTGAAATTGCATTGCCCAATTATAAATTTCCATGTAAAACAACCTGTCAAATCCGGCTCCGCCAGACAATTAAATGTCAGACCAAAGTTCTTGTTTTTTTGTCGTTTCATGTGGGAAAATGTCACAGAACTACAAAAGTACTTTTTCTACTGCTTTTAAAATGTTTGTTTGTTTGTTTGTTTGTTAAAAAAGTTATTGAAGGTAGCGTGCGTTTAAGTGCGCTCCCCTCATAGATGGTTTACATCATTCCTCCATAGCTTACGTATACCATCAGTCAAACTTCTAATCTAAATTTTGCCTTTTTTTGTTCGTTTTTTATTTTATGAGATATAGGCCAAGGAGGTTTGGACTGGTACCATGTAACTGACGGTGTCCACAGACGTTGTCCATAAATTGCCAATATAATGTCCTTCATTGCTTTTTTTTTTTCACTTTTATAAGCTTGCTGGGTGGGTTATCTGATTATTCTTCTCGGGAATTCCTGATGACGAAGTTACGGGACAAAATTGTGCGAAGAATCCGCTCAGTTTTATCCAGCAAGTGCGGCCATGTGAAAGCTTCTTGGTTACACAAGGTTCCGTTAAATCAGTCCATACAAGGACTAACTATCCACACCATTAATAACTTGACTTCTGACAGAATATGTAAAACAACATCCCATAAGTCAAATTCTTTATACATAAATATCGCATTGATTCTCCAAACAAGAATTATGCATTAATATTGCTTTTATTGTATCAATATATTCCCTCAAACGAAGAATGGTTGCCCGGATTTATGCGACTAATACTCAAGTATCTTTTATATTTAATCCGTTTCACATGCATCATGACATGCAAATTTATTACAGGAAAGAAAAGAAAAACACGAACATAGCATAGTTATGATCCTTTATTCCATGTCTCAAATTATGTTCTGAATTCATCAATGAAGAATGTACGGTATCCTGTTGGGACCTGTAGTAAGGTATGTTTGTTCCAAATGTCCTGCCATCTTCACACAATATCCACAATTACAATTAGCACCGTCGAACAATTACTGTACAACAATCATTTACCTTCTAAAAGATCTTAAAACTTTAGTCTGGAGCACTTTTTCGGTTGAAACGTTCGACGGAGTTTGCAAAGAGTCTAAAAATAAATCGGTTCTTCACGACTAAATTGATAGCTAAAGTTTCATTCATTGATTAGAACTATTGCAATGAAGACGTCAATATCCAATTCTGGGCTAATTAGACCGAAAACAAAAAGGGATTTGAACGAAGGATACATGTAAACGTAATAGAACTAATAAAAATCAGCGAAAATAGTATATATATTTCTCTATACATTTACCGGACAAATGCGCATAGGCTACTAGTATACACACATAATTGGAAGCCATTCTCGTGGCGCTAGGACATTCACTGATCGTCTAATTACTGACACATTTTCCTTTTCACCTTTTGTTACTTCTGGGTACGGAAGTACTGTTTTGGGTGGCTGTTTGCGTGTTTCGATGGCACGGTTGAGAGAGAATAGGTTGACGGCGCGTGGGTGGGGAAGAATGGCAGGACATATTGTTGGCTTAGCTTCGTTATCGAACATGTCAGGGGCCGGCCTTCCCACCCAGGACATATTACAGGAGGTGGAATTCACTAAGCTGAGGATTGTATGAACGACCCCTCAACATGCACACAGCTTCTATGTCAGTCTCAATTTAAAAACGTCATACAATCTCCTCGGTTCCAATAAATTTGCGAAAACCCAAGATATTTCCCGGACGTCTGGAATCTCCGATTTCTTGTTACTGTTAGTTACCATTACCCTGATTCTCCATTAACCAAGGAGGTTAAAAATTGTATTCAACCTCCTTGCATTAACTGTGGTCACAATAAGAAAAGAATGGTGCCAGTCGATGTTACGCCCCAACACAGGTACCATCCACCTAGGTGATTGATACTATGGTGTTAAACTGTTCGCGTACTATATCAATGTTGGACACAATACTAGTACTAGTATTTGTACCTTTCTGTGCAATTCAGGCAACGGGACTTGTTCGTCAGCGCAACAAAAAAGATAAGAAACGTACTGGTAAAAGGTACTAAAAATGCATTGAGGAAAACATTGTAGATATTGAGACGATTGAAAGAAAGAACATTGGGACCACGTGACAGTTAAAGTTTAATCTGTTAAACCTCATTGGAATAACTAAAAACTGCAATTATAATTTTTGGATGTAATCATACAAATTTAAATGTGTTATTCTATGGCCTATACTGATTTCAACTA